ATATTAAAAGACAAAAAGATCACGCGCCACGCAGAAGAAGAGATAGAAAGCAAGTAAATACCGGAGGAAGGTCGCTTTGCAGGTCCTTGAGCAGATAGAACCGTACGATAACGAGTTTCTGCAAGGCGCAGAGGGGCCCGCCGTCGGTCTTCAGGAGCAGAGTGACGCCCTACTCATAACCTTCTTCACCTAGTGTTTGATTATACATACACCCGCGGCACTCCTAACCAGTCCCTTCAGCATGCAGACTTGCGTAGCATAGGAGATCTGGACCAAATTAACAGAGTGCCGACTTATCTGGGTCTTACCTCCCGGTACAGGAACCTTAACGGCCTTGTTGGACGACCCAAGACGAAGAGCGTTTTGGATACGAGCCGAAAACCTGAAGAGACTCTGGATCGAGTCTGGATGGCTGTGAATGATCTAGTATATGACACTCTCGGAGGATACCAAATTCCAGCTGGTCCCTCTCAACTTTCATCATCAATCGCCCGCTTGCCTGACCAGCTTATCTCCACTTCATTTCATCATTGACCCCCAGCTTAGTACCGGCTCTGGAACCAGAGCTGACAACTAGAGTGAATTGCCGATCCCTCAAGGAGGATTGGATCCGTTTTGTAAACGAGAATATCGGCATGTATGAAATGCTCACCTTTAAATCCAATTGGCCTCTTTTCTCCGAAGAATCACGACTATTATGTGTGATTCATCTGGTTTATCATCGGCTTCTTCTTTCCAGCCAGTATATTTCCCGTCATTCTTTTTTTAATCTCACCATTGGTACTCATTGGGCTGGTCTGTCTACGTTTCTCCGAAAAATCATGCCCATTGTGCGTATTTCATCTGGCCGACATGGGCCCCCTATTTTCCATCCGTCAAGTCTCTCATTATTGCCATTCGAGATCACCAATGATGCTAATTGTGCTGGCCTACTTGCTGATCTCTTTTCTCCGGATGTTGCAATGGGCGCCGGTTGATTGTATAGGTACTGGTACTCTATATATACCGCCCAGGATTCCCACCTCTCACAGTTCTCCTTTCTCTTTCATCATCAAGCACCTTGCTGATCAAACCCTCACAGCTGCTTTGCTGTAAGGCTTTCAGCATTTGAGCGACCTGCTTCAACAGTTACTGCTTTTGCCAATCCTTCACGCATTTCGCACACCCTTTCATCCCATTTCACTACCTCACCCAGCTACCACCTCCAATCGTGCTTAACTCACTTGCACTCATCGTGAAGATGGAAGAAGCGGACCCGGTCATTTATCAAACCGTACACGGCGTGGTGGCGAACGCAATTCGAGACCGTCGCGAATCCGATACGGAGTTCCAAGCCGTAATCTACCTCCGGCTTGGTTTCAATAGCGAACCTGTCAACAACGAGGCCGAATACCACAATGAGGAACTCGAGAACCCTGAGCAAGCCGCGCAGCCTGAGCACGCCGAGCATGCTGAGCTTTCTGGGGACGAGGAACAAGCTGAACACGCCGAGCTAGACGAGCCGGTTGTGTATGACTTTGGTCGGATCTGGGGTATGTATCAACCCATTCTTCTCTTATTCATGTCCTTGATCTTCTTGTCCTATCCCAAGCATGTGTACTTTGTGCTGCTGAATGCCAACCATCTGTTCTTCTCACTCCTCGCCCACGATCTTAACTCTTTGCTATGCCACCCTTCTTGTACTCCCCTTACGGTATGGGGTGTTGTAACCGCGCAACGTCGCAATCGATGTGACAATTCATCTCTGCTGCAGCAAGGGTGTTAGAATCTTCATCCAGGCCCTAGATCTGGTGAAGAAGAGGTAACGGCGAGAAGTCTCAGGTAGGGCTTGAACAAAGGCTCTAGGACCTTTGCTGCAGTGGATTTTAATCCTCATATTGATTGGACATGACGGCGAGAGGGCTCCGGTGGAGAGAGAGGCAAATAGTAGCAGTTACGGCGAGGCGGGGATCGGTCAGCTCTATAGCTACGACTCCTCTCCGAACTCATCAGATTTAAGGCTCGAACAAAGTACTGTCATAGCCATGATCCTTCACAGCCTACACAAGGAGATCCTTGCTCTCCTGGCTAAAATGGATGTCCATCGCGCTTGAGGAAGTGCTGACCTCTCTCTCTCTCCTTGCCTCGCCGTCAGCCTCTGCCTTTATATAATCATTTCTCTTTGGTCTGACTCCATACCCGAACCACCCGTTTGGTTTCGTCTGACAATCTCTCATTGCAATGGCCGTGCGATCTTCAAGAAAGATAAATACTCCACATATCCCAGCCAGAAGTTTCATATATCTTCAAACTTTCCACCGTCCATTCTCTTTTTGTCTGAAAGCGATTTTGTGGTGGGTTTGACCGGTAACTAACATATGATATAATGCAGTAATCCCATTCATCCACATCGACGATAAGAGCAACATCCCGGCAGCCGAGCAGATAAAAGCTCAAGCCGCCGGCCTCCACGCGGATTTGGAATACGCAGAGCAGGTCATCGCGCAAGAGAACAACATCTACCATTACATCACCCTTGGGCACCGACGCCGATGGTTCTTTGAGTACATCGCCATTACCGGTGTCAGCGAGGAGGAGGCCGGCAACGCCGAATGGAACCTCCTCACTCGCCTCGATGAGAGCCTCGATGAGGGTTGGATCCGCTTCGTCGGCGAGAAAGTCAATACCTTCAAGAATAGTTTCAGTCGCAAAGCTTTCGCCAACCGTGCAGCATACTCAGCCGTAGTTATCGCTGAGGACAAAGTCCTGGCCAAGGATGATGCGGCCCGGGATCGAGAGGGCAAGACTCCGGCGGAGCAGCGCCAGGTTTACCGGGACGCGGTACAGGCTCGCATCGAGCTTGCGAAGGCTCGCGACGCCCACTTGAAGCATCGACTTTGGTCTCTTCCGGTTATGCGCTTCACCCACTGAGGCTGGGTGAGCATGAGAACTCGCTGGGCGCATAAGCCAGATGATTATGCTAGGTCGCATCGACACGGCGGCCCTCAGCACATTCTGAGTTACGCATAGAACTGCGAGCTTGGTTTGAGCAGACGACGCTTAGGAATAGATAAGAGTGGTTTGGGTCACGGCGTTTCCAGACATAGAATCCTGGCGACTCACTAGGTAGATATTGAACTGTTTGCTAGATAGGGCAGAGATCCTCGGGTACCAGTAAGAAGGAATAAACATAAAATGAGCTCAAAACATGCACATGACTATCTACATTTGCGATCGTGATAATTCATACAGAGGTGACGATGACATACAGCATTAATTAGGGGGGGAAAATACCACATCCTCAGTCGCGAGAAGACAGAAGAGGAGGCTCGTGAGGAGGGCCTTTGGCATTGTTCTACCAATAATAGACCTACACAAGCTCCGGAGAGGACAGATTCTGAGCTCGAGGTACGACTCGCTCGTCGCCCGTGCGCGCGAGATGCAGCACCAGATCCAGTAGATCAACACCCCGAGCACAACGAGTTCCATCAACAGTTCTATGTGCAGTCTGACGGCAAGCGGCTCCGCGACTACCTCAAACTGAGGGATTACAACATAAGCATCGATTCTAGTAGTATCTCCATCGAGCCAGCCTCACTCGAGAGACGGCAATCTACGACGACTAGTGCTGATGGGCCAGGCACTTCGTGATGGTGAAATCTCAGGAAGTCTACGAGCGATGCCGATCACTTACTTAGTTGGTGATCTCATTAGAGAATATATACACCGGCGCATGGCCGGCCATGCACTCAACGTAAAGAGCAAGGTTCGGAAGACCAGAGGAAAGACTCTCAAGAAATTTATCAGATAGAGGTGGAGAAATGCCAGTTCTACATGGAACACAATTTTCAATGGCGCCGTTGGCTTCAGTTATTATTCGGCTTGCGTCGGAAAACTTCAGTAGCCTACCATTATTCGAAGGATTTATCTTGTCCTGGAATCACAATGGATTATCCTCGTACTTTCCAATGCCCTAGCCGGGTGGATTATCATCCGGAAACTCTGGCTGCGGAGGCTGGTTTCGCCGGCCAGTAGGAAGGGGGCCGAGGAGATCAGGTTGAGCTTTCAGACTGATGCGTTCGCTCTTGGTCAAACACACACATTCAATGGCTCCCATGGATTTCCTTCCCGCCTATCTATATCTTCCCGGCACCCACACTCTGCCTCTGCGCCTGAGTATTGCCTTTGCATCCGCACATTGCTTCCGCATCTACACACCCTTATCCTTTAAATAGATAAAGCAAGAGACTCAATCGTTGAATACCATGTTATACTTGCGACGAAACTGTCTACTGGCACGAGATATATCTCACCCAGCAGTTCCGATATCTGGGGCGGAGCCATCGAGCTCCAAATCCTGGCCGAGGTTTTCCATTTGGAAATATGCGCCGTCGATATGGCGAACCGACTCACCTCCTATAAATCTTCTGGGAGCAGTGGGACAGCGAGTTAACACGACCCCGTGAGCGACGCAGTGACGATTAGTCGGAAGAAAGCCATTGTTGACCTCTTGGTCGGATCGGCCTCCGGACAGGCATCAAAATGCAGACTCCCCCTGGTCCGCAGTCTGTGTTCAGTGCAACTCCTATATTTCCGGTGAACCAAATTCGTTTTCCTCTTCCATGCCCGTAACAGGCGCAGGGTCCCCGAGCGGCTTTCCAAAGGCTCCTGGTTAGAAGATCGAACTGCACATTAGACAAAGCAGAGATCTGGAGGGAGTCTGTATGACCACATCCGTCCGATGGCCAAAAGTTGAGCAGCGCTTCGTTGACGGGCCCTGTTAAAGGTATATAAGCTGCTGTTGCGTCAATTCGATCTGATCCTATTGATTCGGCGGGCCACCCATAATAGGCTGCTATATACTAGTGAGAAATATCAGATACAGAGCAAAGATGCACGCACATACCTACCTCTATACATGATACTGGTGCTGCTTATGGAGGTGATGATGAGATGACATATTTAAGAAGGGGGCAAGATAGACATAAAGGAGAAAGCGAGAAAAAAAGAATGGAGCCAGAAGTCCCGACGGTGGATCGAACACCGGACCTTAGGATCTGCAATCCCACGCTCTACCGCTGAGCTATCGAGACGGCGATGGTTTATCCGAAGTGCAAATGAACTACAGATGTGAGTCATTTGTTGGCCGTTGAATCTAGAAGTAGAGATTGTGGCTCACGGGTCACCAGTCTGCAGGTGGCGCTCAAGGTTCTAGGCCATATGGTTGAGACATGAGAGGGACGAGATGCTTGAGTTGCAATAGGACGATGCACGAACTAGTGCGTGGTGAAACAATCATAGTGTAGGCTAGATTCATACAGAGTGGGCAGTTACTCCCTAGTTTGAGCGTCGGGATATATTACCATTGACAGCAGATAGAAACCGAATCATAGAACTAAACACATGCAGAGAATACCGAAATTGTTTGACAGAGCTGCTGAATATAGTTGTTATTGTGAAGGGTTGTGAGATGATCTACTAGCCTATACACTCTCAATATCGCCAAGATGATCAAGGTAATAGAGTATGTCAAGACTTCAAGTTAGACGAAATAGAGGACACTCTTGCTGTCAAGTGCCACGAGGAGGCAGCTACATAACAGGAAGGATCTTTGTGCAATGTTGGATATGTTGTCCTCAAAAGTCTTCTGTGTAGGCATGCGTAGTATTCTGAGATCCCTTACGAGTGGCAAAGCCACGCAGGTAACCTATAAAGTGGCTAGGTAACGAGACCATTCAGATTTGCAGCTAAGTTAGCGGAGCGAATGCGAGTGGAAAGAAATAAAGTTGCCTATTCCTGTGGCTTAGCAGTGCGATGAATACACTCACAGCTGGGTAGCTGCCTACGTCAGCGGATCAGCTTCCGATATTGGATATGTGAGTTGAACGACATATTCCAAATTTGTCCCTTTGTCTAGGTAATGACAGAGCCACTCAGCCACATGTCGCCTTTCCAAATTCGAATCAATTGGGAACAAATCGATATTACAATTTTTGCCTACCAGCGGGACGTTTTCTCCAGAGCCAAGACAATGAATGTATCACAAACTCCCGGGTCCGTCAGATGGCCGACCGTCCGATTGGCGGCCTCCAAGAGAGATACATTGCTGGACACGTAGGTTTCGTGTTATCGGTGCGGGTTTCAATGCGAAAGCGTGACAAGATCCCTCATCCGATCTATACTCACATTAGCTGGACCATTGGGGCTGTGCTCTCGGCACCTTGGAGGTCTCCGTATAATCATCTAGAGCATTCACTGTTCTTCCAAATTGGACAGTGGCCACGATGAGGGAGGAGGTATTTATGTATTAATGAGTGAACCATACAGGACAAATAAATAAAGTCGAATCGCCATCACAAGCAGCTATTATCTTGTGTTGTTACACTCATACCTTCCTTCCTTTGTCACGACCAATCACTGCTACCGAGTAACTGACGGTGTTTCTATTTATACCTTCCGGTCGATTACGTAGGGGAGAAATAGCAGCAACCGAACGACCCCTCCTATCCTCAGGAACGGGACCCCACCTCATGACATCTCTCATCTGCTACTAAGAGACCGCCACACCTCAACCTCAGCTGATACACTTCCTACAAACCTTCTCTTATTCTTATCAACCGTTCCCTCGGGCAGCATCACTTCTACTCTTCTCGACATCCAGCACAACAACTACATCCCGCATGGCAGACTTCGACGCTCCTTCCGGCCCTCCACCCCCTCGGGTTCCAGAGGGTTGGGTCGCACGATGGAACGACCAGTACAAAGAATGGTAAGCTCATCGTCTCCCGCATGCCTGTCCTCTTCGGAACACCCATATTCTCCCGAATCCCAGTCAATTTATCACCGGTTTCCAAAGACTAACAAGTTTCGTAGGTTCTACGTCAATACCTACACCAAGAAATCACAATGGGAGAAACCCACAATGCCAGCCGTCAACCCCAACGACGACTCACCAGCTGGCCCTCCGCCAGGCTACTCTCCAGGCCCCGGCGCAGTGCCCTCAGACTCCAAGACGAATCCCTTCGCTAGCAGCCGCTCCACGCCTCCTAACGATGACGACGCCGACGCTCGTCTCGCCCGCCAGTTGCAAGACGAAGAAGACGCCCGCGCACGAGGCCCCTCTCGCGGCGCCGCCTCTGACTACATGAACACTCGGCCCGGCGGTGGACCCAGCCCTGGCCCATCTTCATATCCCGAGGATCTCCCGCCTCGCGAGGGAGGCAGTGGCTCACGCGGTCTGCTCGGCAAGATCTTCGGTGGTGGTCGGAGTAGCAACAGACCTCAGTACGGCGGAGGAGGATACCCGGGTAATCAAGGCGGATATGGCGGCCCACCACCTCAGCAATACTACGGTGGAGGTTCACCCCAGCCGCAGGGTTACTACGGTGGAGGCCCACCACCGGGAGCTTATGGCGGCGGATATGGTGGCGGTCCAGCCTACGGTGGTGGTGGTGGCGGCGGCTACGGCTACGGCGGCGGCGGATATGGTGGTGGTGGCTTCCAGCAGCAACCGCAGAAGAAGCACGGCCTCGGTACTGCGGGAGGCGCCGCGCTCGGTCTTGGTGCGGGTCTACTTGGTGGCGCGCTCATTGAGGATGTCATCGATAACCATGAGCAGCAGGCTTACGATCAGGGCTATGATCAAGGCTATGATAACGGGGATAATAACCAGGATTTCGGTGGTGATGATGGTGGTGGCTTCGATGGTGGCAATTTCTAAGTTGAGGTGAACCGGAATGGATGCATGGGCTGCGTAGCGACGTGATGAATTGAAAACAGATTGATGACAAGGCTTACTGTTTTTGGGTGAGAGGGGGTTTCGGGTGATGGACGATATTGTACTGTGATGGAGATCACGACGTATGGCTTATAGGGGAGGCAGAGTTATCAGACTCTGTGTCTAATATGAGATTCACAACTCCCAAAGGAAAAGGGATGGCTTATTTGGCCTTCATACCTCAAGTACCTACCAACTTGACCAAAATTACACATCCTGGCTACAGTATCTCTTACTCAACCCAGCGCTTCACCTAGTTATGCAGACATTTGAAAATGGTACGAGTTTCATGACGACTGATATGACGGATTCGAGTTTGTGAGAGCTTTAAAACGCTTCAAATTTTGACTGTCTCCCTGTTATGAATATAACTTGGTAGCCTTTGCGAGGAGTGGTCTCGGTTTGGTTTGGATTGGTCGGTAGTGGATATAATTCTCGGAAGAGTAGTATAAGCTGGGACTTCACGAGTCGAAGGGTTAATCAACCATCGACGCTCTTCTGTTCTAGATCACTTCGTCTGTAGAAACAGCATAGATAGGTTTAGGCGAATATTGAGTAATATCGCTCATTTACACCCAGAAGGCTTTTGGCGGCCAGATAGATCTAACCCAGTAGGTCGTAAGGTTTAGAATTTCAAGCGGTCATCTTCAATGAACCAAGAGCGACCACATTGGGCCTAATTTCTGTTCATGAAGTGCTGGCCGAAGTGAAAGCTTGCCGTCGTGCTCATGGATGTAGAGGCTTTACAGGCCTAGTAGCTGCTCTGGGCTGCCTCATGATCCATTACTCACTAAATCGCGTCTTATCCCTGCCCTGACCGATTCCCATACAACCTGCTCATGAAGAGTGCACTAAGAAGAGTCGAGACCGAAGGCCACTATGAAAGATTTGAGGCTCGGCACGGCACATCGCTGGTCAACATAAGGTGCCAACAAAGGCGCAGGCATCGCGAGCCGCAAGAGGTCGAACGGCGTCAGGGTTTCCTTGAAGGCTGCGCTGAGGGATAGTGGGTTGGAGGCTCGGAGGCGGATGCATCTAGCTTACATAAGATATAGTTATTTCGAAGATAATTTCGTGATATGAGTCATTGCATGACCTGTTTACGCAAAAGCTATAGGAGGTATAATGCTTGATTTAGTCTCACACGAATGAAGATGTACTTCGCTTCGCAGCCCGTCTCACTACCAAATCAACCGTGTTGCAGTCTCTCCTGGGCCCCTATATATTATCTCCGCGGAAGCGAATTGTAACAAAAGAGGCCAACAATCCAAAGCCAACGCAGACAACTTGAGAGCGGGTCATGGTTATCATCATGTCTACTAGGAAGAAATGATAGCTCTCACATTTCATGCAGCAGACACTATTGCATTCAGTTGCTCGCAAACTGCTGCCGAGAAAACGTGGTCGAGCGGTCGAGCTAGAAATCTACCATGATTCGTGTTGCGGACCGAGAACGACAGCCTCAGTCACGGGAGGAGAAGTCACCTCGACTGCCGGTTGTGCAATTATACTTGCCGTATTTAGAAGATCATCCTGCGCGCGCACACTACAAGTCGAATTTGATTGGCATGATGGTAGTGGTGGTGACGAGGGTCGTGGTTGTACAAGATAAATAATTTAAGCCATTTATATCGATTGATGGTAGTCGGGAAGGTGGTAGCAACTATGATCACTTCGATAACAAGAACTATATTCAAGCATTATCCCGCAGATATTCCTCCGTATAGAGGCATATCATTCCTCATCCTTGTAGAATCGATAGGAGTACAGTCAATAGTTCAGTATCTTATTATCAACAGTCTTTCCTTTCATAACCTATGTCTATAGTAACACAATGACACGAAAAATTCTTCCAAGCCTCTATGTATTCTGGACCTTATGGCGCGACGAAAGCAATTGTAAAACCACATTTATCCCTCACATACGGTCGTCGCGATCTGATACAACCCATCACTACTCGGTACTGGACAGGAAGTCAATATATATGCTGTTTGAATCATTCCATCCCAAGCTCGATCACTCTGATCCACACTACTTCCCCGACGCTCTTGTGAACACCGGACGACGCCCGTGGCCCGTAACTGCTTTCATACAGGGACAGGGTTTTACCCCCCGTAAAAGCTGATTTAATTTCTTCCACATCGAGAGCCACAGAGTTGGGGTGAGCTGACTGCTGGGCAGCATGCTCATTAGAGCAGATCGCGAGATCTATTGAGTGAGTTCGATGATCACAGGCGGACTTTTCTCCCAACTAATGTCCGGGGAAAGTTAGCAAGACGTCCTGACGCCCTTCAGAGTATGAAAAAGTGCGTGTTA